CACATCGAAACAAAAGTATCTGTAGTAGAAAAATTTAATCAGACTCTTAAAACTAAAATGTGGCGCTACTTTACTCATCGTGAAACATATAAATATATCACTGTATTGAAACATCTGGACAGTGCTTATAATCAATCGTATCATCGCAGCATTAAAATGAGACCAGCAGATGTTAATCAATCTGTGGTGTGGAAAACACTTTACAAACCACCCACTAAAGTAAAATTTCAGTTCAAAGTAGGTGATCAAATACATATTAGTAAAGTGAAGTGTCAATTTAAGAAAGGATATATGCCTGGATGGACAGATGAAATATTTACGATTTATCAGAGAATAGAGAGAAATCCACCAGTGTATAAACTGCAAGACTATCTCTGAGAAAGATTAAATGGAACATTTTATGAATCTGAATTACAAAGAGTTATAAAGTCTTCTGATGACGTCTAAGCTGTTGAAGAAATATTACCTGAACGAGAAAGGGGCAAAAACAAACAATATTCTATAAAATGGAAATGATATCCTGATAAATGTAACATCTGGATCCCTCAAACAGATCTGAATCGTGTGCTGTCATAAAAAGATACATATAACTCTATTTTTCGATATTCAACATGGATCAGTTGTAAGTAACGTCACCTAGTAACAGTTCTATGAATTTTGCTAATAATACTCTGACAAACTATACCAACCTTGAAGGTTTGTGGGAAGTAACCTTGGTCGAATTACATTACCTACATAGCTGGCATAACGTGCCTGATGTTACAGGGTGGATATCATACTTTTCAGGCTCTCACTCTGCTACAATAATATATTATATTAGACCAGGTCATTACAAAGAACCTGAATGTTTATTTAGAATCTTAAACCAAGTAGAATATACACTTCCTAAACCCGACAATGAACTTATATTATTAGTTATGATTTGTTCACCAGAAACGTAAGTGTGAACATAAATGATGGAGCCTCTATAACACTTAATCCTGTACTATCAGTTATACTTGGATTTATCAATAATCACACGATAACAGAGATCAATATAAAGACGACATAGGTCGACCTATTTCAGTTGAACAAGAAAGAGTGATCATACTGCTCCATCTTCGCAATCATGAGAGTTTCTTACTATCAAGAACGAGCCGTCTATGACACATATTACGATTACCAAGTGGGAAATGGTTTACCTTATTATGCTGGTAGTCAATGGCAATGGAGACACGGTAACTTTTGTGTAACTTGTTTCGATTGGTTATACCATTTCTGAAAAAAGGAGCATTAGTTTTAAGAAAACAAGCTGTTCAGTCAGGCATAAATTTAGCATCAGATGTCATATAACGAAAACCTTTTGTCAATAATGGAAAACGACGAGCAATACAAGGAATTCAAAGATGTTCTACACAGAAAAAGAAAAAAACGGAAAGGTCCCATGCTCAGAATATCTAAAGCTAAAAGACGAAGAACATCGACTCCAGGTTTTTATGAAAAGCAATCATGAATCTCCTCTCCTTATTACATACATATCGATTGAAGAAGGTCAGTGGACTAAATATTATCTCCAGTGACTGACAGAGGATCCATCTAAATTTTTATATCGGGATCAGGTGATGAATATTTAGATTGTAAAGCCTGATGGGACCAACATAACAAACAATGAAGATACCTCTGAACCTGTCAAGGTGTTATTTCATTCTATTTTCTCAAGTAGATGTACATCTGAATGACAAACTCATTTCTTTGTCTTTATGCATATAAGGTCTACATATAAACTTTTCTGGGTTATAATGGTGAAGCTAAGAAAAGTCATCTGACATCGTCCATCTGGATAAAAGACACGGTTGATAGTTTGACGAACTCGATTTTAACGATGGTGAGAATGATGGAATCAAATATCGACACGTAGATACACGTGGTAGCCAAACAGTTCTCATGATCGGTCATCTACATTTGGGTATCTTTTTACAGAACAAGTTCTTGCCTAATAGTGAAAGTTTAAAACTTTTTTCTATTGTATTATGTCAAATGATGAATTGGGATTCAAAATTGTACAACAACACGTTCGTTTCTATCTACACTAGAAAAGTCAAGATCAGCCCATCAGTCATTCTGTCACATGCTAAAGCATTTCAGAAAGGAACAGCTAAATATCATTTGAAATATATAATGTGCAAATCGTTTTCAATTCCAATGAAACTTACAAGATTTTATCAATAATGGTTTTTAGGTCAAGTACCTACACGTCTTGTTATAGGATGTGTTGATAACGATGTATATATGGATCTTGTAAGAAAAATCCATACAATTTCAAA